CCTGATTCCACCGCGTTGTGATATATTAACTATACTCTGTCACATTTTAAGTATATACTGTGTTAAAATGAAAATAGCTAGTTTCACAATGAGTCGATATTCTTTAAAATTTCAGGAATACGAATTCAATCAATTTTGAATACGAAAAAAGCAACAACAATACGGAATGTTAACATAACAGGTTTATCCATGACTTACAAGAGTGTGGGGGTGGTCTACAAAAGTAACACGATCAGTAGCGTTGATGACGGCCTGACATCGTCGCCGCCTTGAATCAATCAATCGCTGCACTGCCTGTTGTGGGATGTTATTTCACTCTTCATGCAATGCTCTCTCAAGTTGAGGAAGTGTCTGGGGCTGGGGTTGTCGCATGTTTTTCAACTCACCTCTTGTTAGTCTTGCCGTTTTGAACCGATTCCGTAGATGCGACAGGCGTATAAAAAGATCCTCTCTTGGCGTAGCTTTTCTTCTCCCACGTTGGCGGTGTCGATCCTTTCCTGATTTTGTTGTTTTCTCGCGATCCATTGTTGTGTACGCAGTTCTTCGTGTTACATTAAAATGTTTCGCAGCAGTGGATACCCAGGCACCCCCGCGGATCATTCCAACGAGCTGATTTCGCACATTTTCTCGTACGGCGTGACATCATGAAACGTAGACAAGACAAGTTTTATCACTGGCAAATTGTTACAAAAATGACAAAGCTTTGATGTGTGCTTCTTTTTTAAACAAATCATTGCCGTATCATGATTAATTTTCAAAAAGCACGAAACATGTAACACGCATGCAGATACAAAACCACTCGCGCGTTCAGAAATCTGAAAACAGCTCACCAGCGACAGGTATATCACGTAATCAGTGTGTAAATTTGAAAGTAATTGGTGGCATTGATTTTGTTTTATTGAGCTCAAAATGTGTATACTTAAAAATGTGACAGAGTATATTATCATCTGTCATCTGCTCCACTTGCGAGCGCCATACATGAATCCAAACTCTGTGCTATTTTAGAACAAGTTTAATATGCGAAATTAGACTCACAACCATTTAATGTATACACATATTTTCATGAATCATGACCACATAATGTATACACATATTTTCTTCTTTTTTTTCAAAGAAAAGGGAAATGAATTACGCAAAATAATGATATAAGCATTACTTTCTATGAAAAAGATATCCATTTACCTTGAAAACAAATCGAGATATTGGCGATTTCAGAAGGTTGGTTTCAAAGGTAAAATTAGCAAGAAAATGGCCACCCAAGTTCAGTCATTTCCTTAGCTTGAGAGTCCGTGGACTCTGAAAAGTTACATCCTTAGTGCCTTTAATCATTGTTTTTCAGTGAAATTCACACAGAAATGTGTTCTTTAATGGGCAGGAAAGGTGTTGAGCTAAAAAAAAAAAAAAATCAACGAAAATTCCCAAACCTGAAGAAAAATGCTAGTTTCTTCACTTTCATTATTTTGACGAGCGCCTGATTTCACCACGCTGCCTCACATATTATCCCTATACGTGAATCGAACTCATGTCTTCTGCGCTCGATGGCGAAGGGCCAAACCAATACACCACAGAAAACGTTTGACGTATATATTTATTTCATGGGAATATCCAAATGGATAAAAGCGAAGTAAAAGGGCGACAACTCCCCCCCCCCCTCTCTCTCTCTCTCTCTCTCTCTCTCTCTCTCTCTCTCTCTCTCTCTCTCTTTCTCTCTCTCTCTTTCTCTCTCTCTCTCTTTTTCTCTCTCTCTCTCTCTCCCTCTCTCTTTCTCTCTCTCTCTTTCTTTCTCTCTCTCTTTCTTTCTCTCTCTCTCTTTCTCTCTCTCTTTTTTCTCTCTCTGTCTATTTTACACACACACACACACACACACCCGGACCCTCTTAAACCATGATAAAAAAACGACGCCATGTAGGAAAAAGGGCATATGTGGAATATAATATATTTAATTAATAGAGTAATTAGACTGCAAGAAAATATAGTATAGATGGAAACATACAAGCTGGAAAAAAATAAAAAGATATATATAGCAAATGGATTGGGCAAAGGGGGCGGGGCCCCCGCCAACCTATATGCGCGAAGAGCATGTGTGTGAAGTGGAATGTGAGAAGTTTGTGTGTGGGGGAT